CGAAGAGCGTGGCGGAGGGCCGCGCGCTCATCGACGCTCACGAGGCGGACGGCCCCGGCGACTTCAGCGGCGACGAGGCGGCGGCGTACCCGCGTGACGAGGAGTTCTGGTACCGCCTCTTCCTCAGCGAGCTACCGGGCTCTGACTGGGGAGGCTGCAGCAAAAACGAAGACGACACGCTGCCGCCGCCACGCTCGGCGAAACGGCGCGCAGCAGATCTGCAGGTGACGCTCGGCAATAAGTACGGGCAGGCGATCGGGTCGCTCTGCGCATCCTGTAGCGGGAAAGTCGCACAGTCGTTTGAGGCGCTGTGGCAGCCAGTCGGACCACAGTACCAGCAGCTGCTCTCGGAGACTGTCGTGAAGGACGGGTATTTGGAAAAGCTCTCCTCTGATGGACGCCCGATGGGCGTCAAGTGGCAGAAACGATACTTCCGCGTGAACGACAAGGGAATGCACTACTACGAGACCAACGGACCAAACGAGAAACCAAAGGGGTACAAGATGTTTACGAAGAACAGCACAGTTATTGACCACATCGACGCCGCGGCACACCCAAAATGCACGGACCACCGCTACTACTACTTTGCCATCACTGTGAATGACTCTAATAGACCCTTCTACCTGCGCACACCGAGCGAAGAGGAAATGCGGCGGTGGGTGACGTTCATGCAGCTTGCCTTTGCACGGGTGCGTCTCACGACGATTGGCCATGACCAGAACCCGAGTCGTTGGCGTGCACGGATGGAGGGGCTCAAAGAGGCTGACATTGGTCTCATCGACTTGGTACACGCCTCCGCGCTGGTTGTGGAGAAGCTAAAGCGGCAGCACGAGGAGTTGAAAGAGCGTGTCAGTTCGGAGCGGGTGCAGCGCGGGTTGATGGAGACGCAGGTGATGGAGATGCAGAAACAGCAAGATCTCCTTGCCCATCGCATCGCCGAGGCCAAAGATCAGGCGCGCGTTGCGGAGGACGACATCGACGCCAAATGTCTCGAGTTGGCGGAGCGTGCTGCGTTTGTGAAGCAGCGACGGCTGGAGATGGACGACGAACTCGAGGAGACGCGCCGCAGTATCGATAGCATCACGCAGGCCGTCCTCAAGCTGCAGTGCGACATACTCGATCTGGAGAGTGAGTGCGAGACGCGTGATGCGCGTGTGCAGCAGGTGTATAGCAAGTGGCGGCGCTGCGAGGAGCGGCGCTCACCCGAAGCTGGTGGCGGCTGGCACACCAGTCCATAGTTTTATTCTATCGACAACATTCGACGTGTGACGTGCACGTGCATGCAGTTAGTTCCCCCCACCTCCCGTCTTCACACACGTAGACAGTATTTCTCTGTTTATTTTTGGTTTGCTTCGCTGCGTCACCCACTCCCAGTTATTGGTTTGCTCTCCTTCCTTCTCCCTGTTTCCGACTTGGTTGCGTCGACGCACAGCTGATCTATTCTGGTATCCACCACAGCGCAAGGCAACACTTGAGGTTAAATTTAGACAGTACTTCACGTTGAACGCGCTTCTTTGAGCCATGAGCAAAGAGAAGCTAAAGTTTACCATAGCAGGTAAGACCGTTGTCTATGAAGGTCGCCGGGAGAACCAAACGAAGGACCTCTTTGACATCCTCGTAAAGATGAAGGTTGACCAGTCTGTGGCGGTGCAGGCATTCCGCGGCAACATCGACGGCGCCGCGAGTTGGACAGATGAAAGCATCTGCCAACAGTTCAGCGATGCCCAGCGTGCCTATGCGGAGAAGAAGAAGCGGAAGGAGGCCGACGCCACGGCCGAGCAGCCGGCATCGCCGAAGAAGCAGGTGGAGAAGCCACAGAATATAACACTGAGCTTTCAGGGGAAGCAGTTCTCGTACGAGGGTCTCCCGAGCGGCAAACAGCAGGCCGTCGTGGAGCTGCTCCTCAGACATGATACGACGCGGGAGGTGGGAGTGGAGGCGTTCCGCAAGAACCTGCCGAACAGCACCGCCACCGACGATGAGATATGGGCGATAGTGGTGGCGGCAAAGGAGGCCAAGGCGGCACGCAAGGCGGCAAAGAAGAAAGACACAGCCGCAGGGGAAGTTCAGAGCCCGAAGACACAATCGCCACAGCAAAAGGACGAATCGAAAATGCCGAAGAGTTCCACCGGCGCCGTCGGTGGCGTTGATGCAATCGACGAGATAACAGGCATGTCGGTGGCGGAGCGCGATTCCCTCAGCAACTTCATCAAGCAGGTGCTCGAGCAGCCGCAGATTGACCTCACAGCGCGCCTGCGTGACGATCCGAGCGCATTCGCCTCAGGCACCTCGGCAGCGCGGAGCCCCGGAATCTCTGGGCCTGGTGGTGCCTACGGCGACGACGACACATCACTGGGGACAACACGCACGATACGCGGAAAGGTGGCCATCTACTGCCAGGAGGGGAACTGCACGACAAACAAGGTGCTGTATATCACCCCCGCTACCACCTTCGAGGAATTCAGTGGGATGGTGGAGAAGAAGTACGGCCGAAAAATGGCTATGTCCTTCTACGAGGGAGAAGATGTAATTGATATGGACGATGATGACGTGTTCTGTATGTTTCTTGAGATGAGCCAGAACATTTCACAGGAGGGAAAGCGCATGAAGCTCATCTGCGCCCCGTTGGAGTCCCGTAAAAGAGCGATGGACGACAAGATTACAGACGCGAAGGATGGCAACGACTACAGGGCGAAGGCTTTTTCAAATGGCAAGCTTGAAGTGCGGGAGGAACGGACATTTACTGCTCACACCTCTGCTGTCTACTGCTGCTCCTTTTCTCCCAAGGGGGACCGGTTCTGCACCGCCAGCCGTGACCGCTCCGTGCGGCTGTGGAACACCGCAACAGGTAGCTGCTCTGTCATGAAGGGGGGTCACAACGGCTTCGTATTGTCGTGCGACTTCTCTCCACGGGGGAATCGCATTGTGTCATCATCTGACGACCGTACAATTAAGATATGGAACACGACTACCTGCTCCAAGGTGTCCACTCTGAAGGGGCATGACGACAAGGTCTACTGCGTGCAGTACAACACCACTGGAGACTACATTGTCTCCGGCTCCTGCGACCACACGGTGCGGGTGTGGAACGCTGATACCGGATCCAAGATGGTTACACTGCGGAGTCACACCCTTGCCGTCTTCTCGTGTGGATTCAGCAACACCGACGCGGGTAAGTACGTCGTCTCTGGTGGTGATGACCGCATGATCAAGGTGTGGGACTGGATGAAAGACGAGGAATTCCGCTCCTTATCGGGTCACACGGACACCGTCTGGTCCTGCGCGTTTTCACACGATGACAGACGTATTGTGACGGCCTCGATGAACCACGAGTTGAAGGTGTGGGACTGGAAAAGCAGCAACTGCATTCTCTCGTGGAAGGGCCACCAAGTGCCCATTCATCAAGCCATATTCTCCGCCGATGACAAATACATCTTCTCCTGTGCCAGGGACTGGACCGTCATGGTGTGGGGCGCCGAAACAGGGGAGCATTACGAGACGATCCCCGGGCACCACAGCACCGTGTACCACATGGACGTCACGGGCAATAAGCTGCTGACCTCCTCCCTCGACGACACACTCAAGCTGTGGACAATTACGGCAAAGGACTGAGACGGGAGGGTGTGGAGAAGCTCGTGTTCCTCTTTATATTTGTCATGCGGGCAGGGGTGTGGCGCCTTCCCACCCGCAGCAGATAGTCACACCGCCCGGGGTAAAGGAATAATTGAGACTTGTGCACATACACGCACACACAGTCTGGGTGAATTATTCAAAAGATGAGAAACAAAACAAAGAAGATGAAGAAAAACCAAAAACACAAAAAAAAACAGAGGTAATACCACACAACCAAAAAGTGCATGTGTACAAGGAAGGGGCCTTTTAAAAATCTGTACGCCACCTGCCATTTTCGCACATGTGAGGGAGTAGGAGGAGGGAAAATATGTATTGACAAAAACAAGAGGAAAACGCGCATGGCGGCAGGAGTACCACCGCAGCGTCCTCAAGGTACACGCATGCATGACCTCCCTTCATGGAAATTGTACGAGGTATATTGAAGAGGCTAAGTCGGATTGTCCCCCCAAAAAGGCTACTTTACGTGGTTCGAACGCATTTTGCTCACCATTCATTTTGCCGTCACTCGCATACCCACACACACACACATACACACAGCTGTCATGACCTTTGCTGCTGCATTGCCGCCACCTCGTTTCTTTTCCGTTGCCTCTCCTTTTTTCTCCATGTTTTCGTATTTTGTTTATGCGGTCTACAAGCCGCCCACGATGCCACGAGTGCAGCTGCTGTTCGCCCCAGACGACTACGTTATCT